GTATACTATTTTATTAATTTTATTTTTGTAGTTGTATTACATAAAGTTTATTGTAAATTTAAACCCATCTTATAGGAAATACAATTATTTATAATAGTATACTTTTAAATAGAGATTGTCAGTGAAACATTTTATATTACATTTATATTTTATTTACATACATTAAGTAGAATCTTTGATTAACATTTCTATATTTTTTAATTAATTTATTATCTACAAGTAGGTACAAATACAAAATTATAAATTTAAGTTTCAAAATATAGTTTTTCGAGTATATATATTTAAAAAGTTCTATTTACAGGTAGGTTCGCTTTTCTTATTTTCACAAAGAAAGACTTACAGCGTTATTGCATCCCCTATTTCAAATATTTAGTAAGAAAGGGTCATTACAAAGTAAATTATCACGACCCCAAGAAATATATCACCAATTTCAAATTTTTTTTAGTTTATGTCTAAAATCTAATACATTTTTTATATAACAATATCAGTTTGAATATTAATACAAAAAAATATCTGAGTAAAAGGTAATAGGTACATTTTATTAAATTTTTTACATATCAACAGTGTCGAATCAATATCTCCTATATTATTTTTTACAATTTTAGAAAAAAAATGTCTATTTATTCTGTGGTGTATGTTTGTGTTCATGCTTTACTTATTAAGTATGTAGTCGTGTAAACGTATCAGACGTGTGAAGTAAGATGATTCATAAGTGAGAGACCTATAAAACTGTATAGTTCGTATTTAGTTCTTAACAAGCACCGGACTCCCCAACTCGAAAATAAAACTGTGCGTAAGAATATGTTTAAAAGAGATTTGTTTGATGTTGTTAGAAAAAGATACGCGACATAACAAGCAAGAAAGGATTATTAGTATATTTTAACGAATTAAGTAAACCACAGAAGCCTCTATCTCTTTGGTGCTATTACTTGAAGTTAAAAATGGAAATTTCAATCAAGCAGAATGTCGACATAAAGAAATATGTAAATTTGATCTTGAAACGAAAATCGGATGGGTATAAACCTAAAAAGTTCAAAAAGGAAGTAACGATCTTCGGGGATAAAGAAATTTCTGTACTTGAATGTAAATAAATAAATAGTCTTTTAAGTTCGATAATAAATTCACAAAAGCAGTCCAGTAAAATTAAGGTTATTATGATTTTTAAACAGTGTCAAATCATAATCACTATATTAAAGTAGCTGATGTAGATAATAGTTTAATATGCATATACATATCAATAGGGTGATTTTTTTTTCACGACAATTTTTATTTTTTCGCTCCCAACTCAAAATCTTGTTAAAAATGTTCAAAAAAAAAAATCCCTGAAAATTTTAGCCCTTAATATTAACTCAAAGTACTCGACCAAAGCGTATAAAGATTTCCCATTTAAAATACACGTAAACTTTGATTATTTTTTTTAAATATCTATATCTCAGCCGCATTTTATGCTATTGGATTGTTTTAAAAAAGGATTTACTTGTAATCAAAAGTTCTACAAAAATGCTTTATGTGCCATAGCTGTAATCTGCACATGTAGGATGGTACGGGTCACTAAATCTTATTTTAGTGAAAAATTATCATATTTTTGAAGATATTTCAAAAGTGACTGGATTCTTTAAAAAAATGTAAAGAACAAACTTGTAGAAAATTTAATTTTTTTTAAAAAAGGTCCTATCAGTTGAATCGCTAAGATTGATATTTCTTGAGATATAAAGCGTTTACATTGACAATTTATGAAATTTTTAGGATTTTCGTATCAAACTTTGTATAAATGATGATAAAAAAAAATTTCATGTAATTCCTTTTTTTCTACAGTCGGGTGATTAGAGAAAAATAAATAACTTAAACAATCAAGCATAATTAATAATAAAATAACATGTTGTATGTAATACACCTCGTTGTATCAATTTTTAGGTTAGATATATCTTTTTTCTTTAAAGTTATGTTATTAATAATTATGCTAGATTGTTTGAGTTATTTATTTTTCTCTAATCACCCGACTGTAAAAAAAGACGTAATTACATGAAATTTTACTGATAAACAATTGAAAATCATCATTTATACAAAGTTTGATACGAAAATCCTAAAAATTTCATAAATTGTCAATGTCAGGGAATTTTTTTTTGAACATTTTCAACAAGATTTTGAGTTGGGAGCGAAAAAATAAAAATTGTCGTGAAAAAAAAATCACCCCAATGTATCAAGTTCGATAAACGCCATTTTAATTAGGCACGAGCGATTGTTTAATAAAATGAGTGTCTAGAGAAGTTTATAAACGAGTTGCATACTACACTTTTTTTACGACAAATATTACGTATAAAAAATATTGTATTACTAATTAATTTAAATATTTTTTTGTACTTCCACCTTTAAATCGCCTATTATCGTATATGTTTCCATGTCACTAAGTGACCTTTTAAATACACATTGACAAGTTGTGGCCTTATGGCGTTTTAGTCACAGGGTGAAGTTAGCAGCATGTTTTTAGTCACTGGCTGAAGTTTAGTTGACAGTTGTCAAATGTCATACAATCGTTAAAATAGTGCCTTTATTGAAAAATAATACTAAATGTGAAAATTATTTTATTATCTCAATACAAAAATACAAAAGTATTAAATAGTTTCTCAACGCCAATATTTGAAAAGTTTATATGAACATTGTACTAACCTTTTAATTTCGACGGCAGTAAACTATAACCTAAATTCGGTCTCGGACTCACTGCTCATAAAACATTTTCTTTACTTTCACTGTGAAAAAATGTTGTTAATCCATTTTCAAGGAATACATTTCGATTTATAACCTTTTTAATCTGTGTTTATAACACATACAAATTAGACATTTGACGGTAACACAAATTCCCCTATTGTTTTATAGATGGCGCTCTATACAAATATTTGATTTAAATCATTTTAAGTTAATAATATAAGTAATTGTCGTAGAAAAAGTATAGTATACACCTCGTATATAAACTTTTGTAGACACTCATTAATTTGAGCACTCTCTCGCAAGCTCTCTCGCTTAAATTAAATTCGTGTCTAAAATGGCGTTTACGTTTACTTGATACATAATATACTATTATAGAGCGACATCTATATGTTAATCCGATATAAAAGCAGTACTTTACAGCCGAAAATTTTGTAATGCCGTATTTGCAGATACTTACCGGAAAAATCAAAAGGTCAGTAAAAACGTGCATATAAACATTTTAAGGATTTGCGTGAAAAAAAATGCTTTGTAATTTTGTATTTTTGTATTGAGATAATAAAATTTTCACATGTACTATTATGTCACAAGAAGAGCGGTTTGTTTTGATTGTATGACATTTGATAACTATCAACTAACTTTAATATAACTAAAAGCCTGTTGCTAGCCCGTGACTAAAACGCCATTTACTAGTTGTCAATGTGTATTTAAAAGATCACTTAGTGTAATGGAAACATGTACGTTAATGGGTGTTTTAAAGATGGGAGTAAAAAATATACTTAAATGTATCTACCAAAAATGTTTTCATTTCCAAATAATAAAAAATATATTGAAATCCGTGACTCTTGAAACTGTGATAATGGAATTACCACAAAGTTAATACTGAATAATTTAACAAAGCTCTCATGATATTTACATATTATAATCGAAAAATCGATTAACAATCAAACAATCGATTATTTTGCCCACCCCTAGTATATACAACACGGCGAAGAAAGCATAAACTACCTTGCTCATATCTGCTGTCTTGACTGCGCTGAGCTCGACTTTAATAAATGCTTTCTCAGCCTTTCATATTTGCTTGCAAAACCACAATTTTATGTTATAGGTTTACAATGTTTTTTTTTAATTAATTAATAACAAATAAAATTTTAAAATCAGTATAAAATACCCTTACGAAATTCATACCTACAAATAAGATTGCATGCTATACAATAGAAGTACAAAAATATGTATACATTTAAAAAAATATTTATATTAGAATTGGAGCACTTTTTAAATTAAGTGGACGATTTTATTACAAACACTTTGTGAGCAATATTGCTTTATACAAGTTATGCAGATGCCTGAACTTGGTATCGATGCAAACATATTTCCGGAATTCAGATAGAAGTCGTTTTGAAAAATAAATTACTCACATATTTATATATATATATAGTTTAAGGCCATATACTTTAATTGGTTTTCAAGGGGAAATGGCTAAAATATAATTTATTTTGTTTTTACTTCTGCGAATATTAAATTATAATTACACAACTTATAAATATAAAGTAAATAAGGGTGGTGACGTACTTTAGCTTTGTAACATTATACACGGTTATTCACAACTAACATGAAGATAATATAATAATATACATTAGTGGAAGAAAAGGTTGAAAACAACTTATTTCTTCTTTCCTGTATTATTTATTGTTGACCACATATGAGTACATTAACTATGCAGAAAATTTTGACTCTAAGACTTTATCTTCAGGTGGCGCACGCAGCAAGAAAAAACACCAATTTTGTTTTAGGCGCGTATTTTTATCAATATACCTACTAATTATTATTATGTCAATAGATATAAATATTTATTTTTTTGTTATGTCCCTAGACCAAACCAATAGATAAATATCTTATGTCGGATGTTGGTACAGTATTATAATATTTAGCCAAGCCAAGAGAGGGCGCGGATTTTATAATTTTTTGACGTTTCGACGTTTTTTTCTTTTTTGACGTTCAATTACTATATCACACAATTAGTATATCCGTAGTTATCGCATTTTTGTAAGATTTTGTGTATTTTTGTGTTTTGTGTGTATTGTTTCTAAGGTTTGTATTATAATAATAATTTATAAACGACACTTTGACCAAATCTTAATCTTTCAGATGGTAGGCATGTATTTATTCACAGATTTTACAAATGAATACAAAATACACTTGTTTTACATTTACATAATTTGTTTTTCTCATTGCTATTCTATAAATCTGCGAATTTCTTTAGTTTATAAAAGTTGCTTGAAAATTACTAAACAGCATAACCACAGAAGTACCTTAAAATCTAGCCACAAGTTAGATTTTAAATATAGCGCCATTGAAGTAACCAATCAAATACGTTGATTTTCCACAAATTAAAAGCTATGTTGGCAACTGTTGCCTGTAAACACGTAATTTAATTTTTAACCAAGTTCAGAGAGGGCGCTTTATTTGGCTCCAAACTATATACTCTTTAAGATAGTCATCTATTGGTTTGGTTTAGGGTTATGTCCATGGTTTATTAGTTATACTCCCATCTGATACACGCGCTTACCTTACGAGCGATTGCAAAATGCCTAAAACTAAAGATTGGCGATGTCATGTATTTGGTGAACCACAAAAACTTTCTGAAAAAATGTTGCCGACATATAATGATATAACTAAATATTATTTGTTGGTCAGAAATGATTTTCCTGAATTAAATGGTGGGAAAGACCCTGCTATCAAAGATGTGTGTAAAATTATTTCCTCTGACATCGAGAAAATATGGAATAAATCTTTGATTCCTATTCCATCAACAAGTTGTGGCGAGGTTGATTTCATATTACAACAAGTACAAGGGCGTGAAAAACTTCGCAATGATGTAAAAAAGTTGTTCTGCGACGAGTCCAAAAATCTATTTGATATTGCTACTTGTAAAAGCGATTCAAAGAATTTGTGCAAATGTGCTGTTAAATTTCCTGTTACGGAAAACCACTTTTTAAAAGACCAGCGAGAAGATCGTCGATCGAAGTCTCTACTTCGCAAAATAGATGAGAAAAGAAAGTAAAAGGAATTCCTGAAAATTTCTACCGATACTCCAAGTACTTTTTCTTCTTTAGTTGTGCATTGCACAACTGAAGCAGAATAAGTACTTGTGCAAGACGTAGAAAGTTCTTCTTCAGATGCTATGCAATATTACTATGCAATCATAGTAAACGCTGCATTATTGGATTTAAATACAACTAGTAAAGAAGATGTATCCAGAGTAATAGATCGAGGTAAATTACGACGGTAGCGCCAAAAACTTCGGAAAGATTTACAATGATTAGAAAGAAAACCCCTAACTGCGCTTTGTATTGATGGCCGCAAAGACAAGACGATAAATGTTATTAAAACTGGAAGCAATACACAGCGGAAAACCATTAATGAAGAACACATTTACTTAATATCAGAGCCCGGGTCTGAGTACATTGGCCATCAGTTCACTTAGGAAATGCAATAAAAACTAGAATTGAATATTTGGACAAGTCTTGAATTTCGAACATGCAGGTGCCTAACACAGGCATCTCAGGTCACCAGGCATCAAGCAGCCTTTTGCATAACCCAGAGGACGTCATCTTTGGTTGCAATAGGATGTGATGGTACCGCGGTAAATACTGGGCATAAAAACCGCGTCATCGATTTACTGAAAAAACATTTTGGTCGCCCTTTACAATGTTTGTGCGTTTACAACATGCAAACGAATTACCACTTCGACATCTCTTTACATACCTCAATGGTACAACAAGAGGGTCGAAAATTTTTTCAGGTGGTAAAGAACTGGAGAAGCACCTGAACTATGAAGTAATGGATTTTTTATGCTATGTTACAAGATGACGAGTCCAACATCAGAGAACTAGCATTGTGAAAAATATTTAAGGCCAGAAAAGAATCAAAAGGTTCGAGATTACGGGAATTTAAGCTTCCACAACTAAACACTAAAGCATTACATTAATTAACAAGTTAATTCACTGGGCGACAAAAAGGTAACTCAACCACCTATGACTATAAAATATCATGATACATAAATTACCGATATGATTTCTTCGGGTGACCATTCCCTATACTTCCAAAAATTTCCGTGTCACACCCAAGCAGTGGAACGCTGTGTAAAACTGGTTAGTAAATCTTCAGTCTCGGATTGTGGATCGGAAACAAGAATTAAATCCAGAAAAAGAATTACCAAATTTTGATACCAAATGTCAGTATTTTCGCGAAAAAGAAGATCTGCTTTCTACCAATAAACACTCTTAAAGTTACTTAAAGCTTAGATATATTAAAATAAAGTTTTTATTTATTAAAAATGCTATTTTTACTACTTTGTTTGAAGTCATATTTTTTAGAATTTTCAAAACTTTGAGATTGATTAATACAGGGTGTTATGTAATTAATGTTATATATTAAAATGGGTTGTTCCTTAGGGTCCATAAAGAAGCACCTGAAACTTTTTTTTTCTAAATTCCAAAGTCTAAAAATAATTTATAATAACCTTTATCCTAGCAAAAAGTACGCTACTGATCGACTAGGAACTTTAGGCTAATCTGGTTGCCTAATTTAATTTATTATGTTATGGTTGGTAACAACAGTGTTTCCAAAATCTGTCAAAAAAGTTGACAAACATTGTTTAAATTTAGGTAAATTACAAAAATGACAAAATTAACAATGCAAATTGTCAATTTGGCGTTTTTATTAATTGTTGGTTATGTCATTTTTGTACTGAAGGTAAATTCAAACAAAATCTGCCAACTTTTTGACAGAATCTAGTGCATTTCTTTCAAATTTTAGGTTATGTGCTCAAATTGTAAATATATTAACTAAGGGAAGTGCTTTTGGATTTATTTACACAAATTAAATGTTTAAAGTTTAACCTGTGAACTGGTCCCAATTTCATCTGAGTAAACAGAAAGAAAAAAACTAATGAAAAAATTAATTTTGTGGTTATGGATTTTTTAAAATAGGTACTAAATTTTCCAATCATTGCTTAAGCTAATAGCTGGATGAGTAAATAAATACAGAAGGGTATTAGAGCTTTACGGGCATAAAACTTTTGTATTTATTGAGTTTTTATTTATTTTTTGCTAGAAAAATTTTTAGTAACAATTTTTTACATCTGGCAACGCGCAGCTACTTTGTTGGTTGGTATCTATGTACTCACAGAACACAAGTGTGCAAAGATAAACCAAGTGTGTAACCAGTAGCGTATCACAAAAAATATAAAAAACTTCCAATGCTTATTTTTTATTTCTTTAAATATTTTTCCTTTACTCCTTATGTCAAAAGGTATTTAGTATTTTAATATATAACATTAATTACATAACACCCTGTATATTAAAATTTTTTTTTAAATTGGTTTATTTTACGCCTTTGGTCAATTTATAATACAGGAAAAATCAATTATTAAAAAAAATGTTTCACTCCACCCTAATATACATATAGTTATATTACTTTTTGCATAAACCTTTTTATTAATTGATTGATGGATTTTATTTCTAACATTTTTAAATATTTTAAAATTAACTTTTATAAAATTTTAAAACAAAATACCTTATATAAAATTTTAAAACCTTTCCCTAATATTAAATATTAAAAATAACAATCAAATAAAATCAACTTAGTTATAAAATGAAAAGTTACACGGTTAGAAAAAAACTTACAGGGATTCTATCCTCATTGGGAAACTGTTGGTTTAAACAGAAGTTTCTAAAAATAATTAAGTCTTAATTATTGTAAGAAATATTACCCTTTATTAATTAAAACGGTGTTTTTTTTTTCAAAATATTCAGTGTTGTGGAATATTACAAAAGTTTATTTTATCATTTTTATTATTAAAACCAACTGTGACGTAAAACAATGGTTAGGATGATGCGTATTTGTTTTGTAATGTAAAACGAACGATCCAAAGATTTGGTCAGTCTCAGGTGGCCCAACTTTATTTTAGAACATTCCAAAAAGTATATTACAATATAATTAAAAATAAATATTAAATTGAGATAAAAGTTGGTTTCATAATTTGGTTATTATTGCCTTTTAAAAAATTACCGAGCATTAGATTTTAATCCCGAGAAAACTCCTTTATTATAATGATAATCAGTCCATTAGCTTTAAATAAAATTTAACGATCTATTAGTCTAGACTCTTTTTAATATTACAAAACTTTTAATAGCCAATTTCAATTTTAATTTTTACTTAAATTGTGCACCTGCTACATCAAAATATGGCGAATGCGCCGGGAAACTAAACATCTTTATGAAACAATTTTTAATTATTTTTTATTACCATTTTAATCAATTGGTTTGTGCAAAATAATTAAAAATTTATTTTATAATTTTTAAAATAGGTACTGCATTTAAAATAAAAATTTAATTGTACTGGTAAATTCATTTTAAATTAAAACGTTTAATATATTTTTTAGTTTTAGTAATTGTAAAAATATTAACTGGCTTTGGTGATGTTTTTAAATTTTTACATATCTTGTATGACATAAAATTACCCTTCTTTATTACTCTAAGCACTTAAAAATGGTGGTACCGTAAACACGGGTGACTTTGCACCCCGCGGGTGACTTTAACCCTTTTATGAAAAATTTTTTCGCGCTTGATAAAATTAACATTTATAATTTGTTGGTCTAAACCTGTCAATTGAGCGATTCTATTGAGTTTATATTACAGAAAAATCATTGTTTTAAAGAAAGAAATGGGATTTATTACACTTTAAAATTGTATATATCGCATCTGTGCAAAACTCTTAGAAATACACGCGTTACAATTTCTATATTATGCGCAATCCATTGGAATGATGATCCTTGGTTAACTACAGGTCGATTTTTTTTATCGGTAATCCCTTGCAATAGATATATGTCGCTGCTAACACGTGTCTAATAAAAAATAAAATATAATATTGAATTCATTTTATACGGAAAATACACTGTGAGACAAAGTAACCCGCAACCAGGGGGTAACTTTGCACACCCAGTTTTTTAATTTTTATTTTTGAAACTCAGCCCTATGCAATATTATAACATAGTTATTATGAAAGAGCAACTTAAGACTCAAATTTTGGTATACAAAATTTAATGTTTATGATTGTTAAAACCATAAAAATTTTAAGCTTAAGTTTGAAAGTGAGCTAAAGCCACCCGTGTTTACGGTACCTTGACTTATTTTCTTCCTATTATATACACTATAATATCCTTCCTACACCGAAAAAAATAATGTAGTTGAGTTAACATTTGCCTAAATGTCATTTTTAAAAATGTTGTTTCAACAAAAAACCTATTGGATTAATCTATATTTTGGTGTTAAAGCAAAAGTCAGAGTTTGTCAAAGTTTATTTGTTCATTTGACAGTTTAAATATTAATTTAACATAAACTAATATTTTGAATTAAAATGTTTATCGTACTTTGATTTAATAGCTGGAATTTGTTGAATCAACTACTGACATTTTTAGGATTACCTAAAAAAACTATTCAATTAACGTTTAGTTGCTCTTTAATCCAAAACTTTAAATTTGTTCATTTAACAAATTTAAAATGTTACTTTAAAATTTAAAATGTAAAATTTGCATTCATAAAATTGCCGAGAATGGCGCTTCGAACACTCACGCCACGTCATTAGACAATGACGTTTTCTTACATCTCGCCTTAGTTAGCTTACGATTAGGTGTATATAAGATGAGATATCTGTTTGTTTAAGGTGTGTTCCACAGTAGAACTTTCACTACACCATATTGCCCGACACTGTTAAGACCCTCAATACAGGGCGAAACAGTCTGTCGGTATTTGAAGTAGGTGGAACACATGATACAAAGATGTATCATGGGTGGAACACGCTCAAAACAAAAACTCTGGGCGAGGTGAAGGTTCAATTCTTTCTATTTATATATAATAATATATTATTTCCATAATTTTGTTTTGGATACCAACCTTTAAAGAATTTTACATTTTCAGAATGTTAATTTAACATTTTATTGGTGTTAAGTGAATATGCTAAAAAGGTTACCTGGACATTTCAAGAAATTTACCTTAACACCCTAAAAATGTTAAATTAACCAAATTAGCAGATTAGAACAAATATTCTTATTTTGTTCATTTGACGTTATTTGTTGTTCAATTAAACAATACAATTTGACATTTTTAGATGGTTAAGTAAACGTGCAAAAACCATTGCTTGTATTTAAAGTGCATAAAGAGTTGAATTAATATTTTTTTTGTTGTTTCAACAGCTTATTTTTTTCAGTGTACACTATAAATTGAAATATCCTTCCTACACTATAAATTGAATTTTACAGTCTTCATAAAGACAAGAAAGTAGATGTTTCTGCGGCTGGCTTTTATTGGGTGTTTTATGTAATTTTTAGTTGATTATTTTAAACTATTTCGCGTTTTCAGATTTTTTCGAAAAATTAAACATCGATTTAAAGCAGTGATTCTAAGGTATAAAAAGTTAAATTCCAAAACCATGCCTTTTTTACTACAATTTATGTTTTTACATATGTATTACCTGTTCAGGTATTTTTAAAACAGGAGCAATTTTTTATGAAATAACCCACCATGTTGTATTTCTTAAAGACCTGTATTAATGCCACATATATTTTATTTCTCGGCATCTAAAATTTTGATTTAAAACTGTTACATATCTCTTATGTGATCTGCAATAAAAAAACAATACAAATTACTTAGCCTAACAATTGTGATCCTCCTCGTACGAGTCGTCTCTTTCCCTGAAATTCGAAGAAGGCGTCCTAATGACGTAGGAAGACTCAGTGGCGGAACCAGGAGTCAGAAGTGGCGTGCCCTGAAGGCTTATGGTTAGGGGGAGCGCAGAAGGGGCGCAAAGACTGGTCGCCCCCCGGTTTTCATTTACCGACCTGTATCTCACAGGCCTTGACAATCTAAAAATAAAAGGAAAAAAGCAATTAAACCATTTGTTTTGACGCCTGGTTGGTTTACCGCAAACAGATTTTCATTTGAATCGAAATCTGACTTTGCCTTTTAGCTAAACAATTGATATTAACGTCTGTTTCGGATTGGCAATCAATAAGATTTCAAGACACAATGAAGCGTTTCAGATGTAGCCACAATTTTGCTTCTACTACGAGTATTTGTTTCCTTCTCGAATTATACGTCGAAATTAATTCAGTTTTAACATTTATAGTAATACAAATAACTTAATTAAAGTAAAAAATACGTTAATTAAATATTTTTGTAGTAAAATGCTTTATTAATAAAGAAATACACAGTTTAATTTATTAGTAAATTAACTAGGTAAGCAGTAAGTACACTGTTTAAAATATCTGTGGTGTAAAAAGTAATCTTAAAATGGTGTCAAAATCCAACACCAAGTGGTGTTAATATAACACCATGAATTATGGTTGAAAATGTTTTATACAGCAAACACCAAAACGGTGTTTATCTAAAAAATATTTGAGTCCACCCACACAGAAAAAAAGGAATAGTTCATTAAATTTTAACTAAACTGCGCACCACTCAATGTGTCGCGACCAAAAAGTTTGTCCTTTTTCAAAACGGCATAACTTTTTTCTTTCTTAAACGATTTTATTTTGGTCTTAACCCCATTCTCTGGCAATTCATGCTATAGATATTAATCCCACGGCTCCTCAAGTAAATTTCCTACAGGGTGATATGTAAAACGGTGAAAAATTTCAATAAGTTCATCCAAGCCCCGTTTGAAAAAAAAAATATTTTTTCTCGTTTTTTCTTTGAAATAATGAAGAATTATGTCTTACCTTGAAAAGATTTTCAAATTTTTCGAATTGGAATATTAGCAAGGAAAATCTGTTTTTTTTTACAAAAGAGTACATTTAAGGCTTTTTGGTAGGCAATACACTCAGTCTTTTTAAGAACAAGAAAATAAGATGGTGAAAGATTATTCCTTGAATAATTCTGAACAAGCGACAAGCAACAAATTTCCATTATTTTCAAAGGGGCCTAAGTAAAGGCCACTTTTTCAAAATGACATTTTGGTAAAAATTTGCGAAAACTAAACCTGAACCGATATTTACGTTCGTGACATGTTTTCTTTATAATTTTGATTGTGATTCAGTTATCAAATTTAAGTTTCAGATAAAACCAAAATCACCAAGAATCAAAATTCGAAAACAATTCCCGGCTGTTAAATGTCTTAATAAAATCAGAAAAAAAATCATATCGTCGTTGCTAAGATTCCAATTCGAAAAACTTCAAAAACGTTTTAAGGTAACACATAATACTTCATTATTTCAAAATAAAAAAGAGAAAAAAATTATTTTTTTACAAACGGGGCTTGGATGAAGTTATTGAAATTTTTCACCATTTAACATATCACCCTGTAGGAAATTTACTTAACAAACCGTGAGCTTCATATGTATAGCATGCATTGCCAGAGGATGAGGCTAGCAGACATCACAGACCAAAATAAAATTGTTCAAGAAACAAAAAAGTTCTGTCGTTTTGAAAAAGAACGAACTTTTTGGTCGCGACACATTGAGTGGTGCGCAGTTTATATTAATTTAGTTGACCCATAAGTATTTATTTAAATAAACTGTGGAAAGGTTAATATAAACAAAGATTAGTTTGACGGTACTAAACCAGATAGTTATTTTTATTTTTTTAAATTGGTTAAATTAACCCAGGAAACTTTAGTGAAACCAACCCGCTGTATGGTTCAGTTTAATAAATATGTTGTTTGTAAAATAAGAGTTACTTCACTTTGTTAAAACGATTAAAACAATTTGCCGTGCATTCCTGGTTACATAGTGTGTACTGATCGCGGCAAAGGCGGTGTGTATCACGTGATGTTCTTAAATCTCGCCTCTGTTGACTTACATGAAGAGCTATATAAGCTCAGTCCTTTGCTTTGGTGTGACACTACAAGTTGTTCGATACTAAAGAGACCTTAAATAGGTGGAAACAGCTGTCAATACTTGAAGTATTTTAAGTTGGTGGAACGCACTAAAAATATTATCTCTAGCGAGATGGCTGGTAATATATATATACTATAAGTATACTTGTAATGCGTCAAGGAACTTCCTGTTTCCTTTTTTTCTGTGTAGTATAATTTAATTTGACCAAAAACACATTATATTTAACACTGAAAAGGAGTTAAATTTACACCACTCAAAATTTATTTTATTACTGTGTGAAAGTTAAATTTACACCATTTTAGTATTTAAATTTACACCGGACCAACGAACCTTATTTAACACAATTTTGGTTTGTATCGATATAGACCATGTATGGTGTTAATTTGGTGTTAAAATGGTCATGAAATTTTGAACAGTGTATAGGTATTGTATTTGTGATTTGTCTTTATTAATTAAATTTATTTACTATAATTTATAGACACTATAAATTTATCCAAACATTTTTTTTTACTTCCAACATTTTAAACATTTTAAAAATATTTTGAAAGGAAAATTATAAATATTATTTTTTAAATATACCACCGGTATAAATAGATTCGTCAGAAAGAGAAACCTAACAATTTTTAAATATTTATTTTAAAATTACTTATCACTCGTATCGCTCCACAAAATCTAACAATCTAACAATAGCGGTTATAAACAGTGCATTTTAAATCCAGAATACCTAAAAGGTAAATATTTTATAAAGTTCCGCGACCCCAAAGTGCATAAACACCCCACGACCCAGAACGAAAGTTTAAAGTGAATATTGTCACTCCTGCCAGGAACAGGTGGTTCAGTGTGGAGGGAACCTGAAAGAGATCAAGCTCGAAGAAACAAGGCGAAATTCGGATAAGTATTTTAATAATATTTGCATGTCGCTATTCGCAATACTAAAAACTCGTAATTCCTAAATTCACCAAGCCTGTCAAGCCTTCTGGTTTATTCCTTCTCACTTAGAAAAATTCCGAGGAACAACGAAAATACATGAACTAATAAAATGCATATTACCATTAAGCAAATCAAGAGACCGAAAATTAGAATAAGCATTTACTTTAAAAATACAAATCCATAAATGTTAAGTAGTCCCGAATTTTGCCTAACATAAACATAAACATAATAAACCCCTCATTACGAATAACTTTCAGGCACCAAATAAAAGTAATAGCCTTAGAATTAAAAAAACAAATGTTAACAGCAAGCATTGATTAAAATATAAATGCAACTTAACAACACAAAACGTAAACAACGGACCGCTCGGGCCACACATTAGCCAGAATTATTAGATTTCGCATTACTTCGGTATATAATAAACATTAATAAGAAAAACAAAAATAAACAAAAATTAAAAAACTCTCGATAACGATCGGTAGTTGCATTACCGACCATCGAAAACTATATATCGATAGTGCTCGAAATCCAGACTGAAGAAATGGGAACATTTGCATACTGCAGTTTCCGATTTTCAGCAGGCTCGGACACAGATGAACAGGAAGTAGTACGAGACCAGCAAGAATAGGTTGGGTTGGGTGGGGGTGGCTCATACCAGCGTACTAACCAACCAAGCCCCATTCATAAATCCCAATTGAGGGGGATTCCGTATTGTACTTAGTTTTGGGTCAGTTAAATGTTCCGCGCTAAACTAGCCTAAATCGGGCGTATATCCCGGCCCGGTGACAAAATCCCGGGAAGGGCATTAACCATTAAAACTGTCATCCACGACCTCCTAAGAGAGATTACCAGCAGGGGTGAAAATTCGTATGCACCAAATATAGGTAATGCTGGGCAGTTGAGAACCGAAAGATGGTAAAAATAACTCTGGGAGATCAGTGTAAGGCGATGCCGATGGGGCCAGCCATACGTTCTTATAGTTATACTCATACTCAATTATATTTTTAATATACAGTTAAACTATAATTGCAAACTTTTACTTTTTGTTATAAGATACAATACCTAGTATATGCTATTCGGAGGAGGTCTTTTTGTGCTTCGCTCAATTACTTTGCCTTAACGCAAAGCGCCTTGGCTGCAATCTTTTACTTAAGTGAGCTTAAGCTCAGCACAAACAGGCTCACTTCTCCTCCTAATGACATAATCTACTATTTTGGGAAAAAATATAAAATAAATAATTTGATTTAATTTGGTCTATTTTTTAGAACAAATTAAGAAAATATTTTATATTGTATAATAATATAAAGGTAGTAAATAGCGTTATTTTTTTAAAAAATTTAATTAATTAATAAAAAGATAAACATATAATAAATTCAGTTTTAATACAATGGTTTTACTTATTCATTTTAAATCAATACCATAAAACACACTTTTATTAATATTTTAGGTTCCCAGAATTTTGTCACCGGGCCGGGATATACCCCCGATTTAAGCTAGTTGACCGCGGAACATTTGACTGACCCAAAACTAATTTGATTTAGTTAATTTTCTTACTTTTAATATTAAAAAATAAGAAAAACAACCCTTTTAGGAAACAATAATAGCATATGGCAACAGCGCGGCATGCAGCCAGATACAAAGGCATGCAGTTTGATCTACTGTGTTTGTTCAGTAGCTCCGACGCTGTCGTAGGGAAATGTGTATAGTTTTTAAGAAATACATTTTCGCCATTAACTGGAATTTAATAGATTTTAAACAATACTTAGTTTTTATTTGCAGAAATGCATTAAAACAAAACAAACGAATTCGATAAAAATAAAACCTATAAATTCTCAAACAAAAATAATTCTAAAATAACGAAAATAACTTTTTTTCTAAATTAAATGTTTAAATAGACCACCAGCGGCAGTTAAACAATACCCTAGCCTATCATAAAAATTCCTGCGCACGTTAAACAGCATTTCAGGACTAATACCCAAGTAACATTTTTAGTTTTATTATGGTCTTCAAAAACGCTTTAAAACAAAATTTTGTTTTAAAGCGTTCTTGAAGACCATAATTAAACTAAAAATGTTACTTGGGATATCTCCCAATGTATTAAAGATTTGCACCCTTAATTCATCGAGATTATTAGCCCTGAGCTCTTGAAATCCATAAATTTTCGACTTGAAGTATCCCCACAAGAAAAAATCACACGGAGTCAAATCCGGTGATCTTGGAGGCCAAAGAATATCTCCATGACGACCTATCACGTGATTTGGAAAGTTGTCATTTAAATACTCTCAACAACAACCAAAGTATCATGTTCAGGACACCCGTCTTGCTGAAATCATATGGTTTCAAACGAAATTTGCAAATTTTGAAGTGCCGGAACAATTTGATTTTGCAGTAGCTCTAGATACTTTTGCCCACTAAGATTACCATCAATAATAAATGGCCCAATGATATGGTCTCGAAGAATTCCAGTCCAAACATTTAATTTCAGGGGGCGCTGTGTTCGGGCAGCATACACCTTGCGGGGATTTCCCCCTTTTGCCCACCAGCGGATGTTTTGGGAATTATGACGATCATGTAATGAAAAACTCGACTCATCCGTAAAAAGGATGTTTGGGATGAAATTATCATCCTCGTTCGCCTTGTTCATTACATATTCGCAAAATTCCATGCGGCGATCTGAATCGCCCAGGTGTTGCTCGTTACCTCTCTTCAATTCATAGGAATGATACCCATGCTTGCGTAAAATCTTGGAAACCGTATCCTTGGAAATATCAAACTGAGCAAGTGTTCTGGTAGATTGTGTAGGGTCTTGATCTACACTTGTACAAATCAAAATGTCCCTTGCTTCTCTATCGTCATTCCGCCCTGGCTGCCGTTGTGTCTTATGCCTCTGCGGCGAAAGGCACATGCGTTCGAATATTGTACATTATCCTCTGGATTGTAGCTACACTGGGTAAAGGCCTATTTTGAAACATATTTTGAAATAAAGTTTGTATTTGGCGATACGATCTATCAGTGTGATGCCATACCATAATTTGGTTTTTTTCCTCACGGGTATAAACCATTTTATTTGAGAAAATACTTTTTTATTCTTACAAAGACGTACGCAAAGTCTCAGTGCACTTCTTAAACTGACGCACAGATCATACGCGTATACGAGTCGTATACGCGTATACGCGTCGTATAATACGACAATGATACGGCAAGCAAACAAATTCAATCCCTACCACAGTGGGCGGGGTTTGGCACTTGTTTTATTTAAGTGTATCTATTCGTTTTAATACACACTGTATATATATTTATATCTATTAAATAGTTATTAAAAATTTTAAAGGATATAAATTATAAATAATAAATAGTTTTTTGAAAAGAGGATATGCATGTGAAAATTTGAAATGGAATAAATAAAAGTAAAGTATTGGAAAGGAATGAAAATTATTAAAATACAAAATTTTAAGTGAAAGAGTAGCAAGTATTAGCTGAACTTTAAACATCTATATATTAATGCCTAGACAAGCTATTTGGTTAGCTTATTGGAAAATATATAAATGAATTAAATAAATAAATAAACAAATAAAATAAAAAATATGCCTTTAACAATTTTTATAAAATATAATTACAATTACATTACAATTACTTTTGAAAATACTACACAAATTGTATCTACAAAAAAGTAACAGCGAGATAGCTAAGCCACTCTGTTAAATTTATGAGTATTTTACGAAAACCTGTAAATGTCTTATACTTATAAAGAATAAAGTAAATTTATTTTCTCAATGATGTAGAGTTAATATAAAAATAATATAAAAGTACTTAATATAAAATGCTTTACGGCATTAACAAAAATATTGCACTATTAAATTAATGAAATTATAAGTATATATAAATATATATTCAAAAGTATTATAAATAATACATTTTGTGATTCGTTTATCGTTTTCTATAGAAATAATATTTTATATAAAATATCAAGAAACATTCCCCAGAATTAAAATAATTCAATTTTCATTATTAAGGTATAACGAAACGTTTAGCTATTGATTTTGAAGGTATTGTGTAAAAAATATTTAAATGAATAAATAAAACAAGACTAAAGTTTAAAATTTTAAAACTTTCCTTGAAAACTGTTATGGATGGACAATATATTTATTGTATTTTAATCTTTTTGTCTAAGTATAAAAAAGCTTGTCCCATTTTTTAAGATTGAGGGGACTAATGTCAGCTCTTATAATTTCTCTGTATATTTATGTTTCTTGAATTTATGGTACGGTATTTTATTATTAGGTAATTGGTTATCTATATTTTTAAAACAAAAATTAAAAATTAACATTAAAATTATACAATATATTCCTGATTATTAGAATATGATGTAAATACAAATTCCGTAAAATTATTAAATCAAAATATCATTGAAACAATACATTTAATAGTAAATAAAACACATTCTGATTTAAATTATTAAATAATTTATAGTTAGATATTTGCCCTTGTTAAATTAATTACATGCCCAAAATGCGTGTTATATTGTATGTTTCAATTTAAGATACAAAGAACCTAAATATCAATAATTATTGGAGATTATTTTAATTAAATGTTAATTAATATTGGCAAATTAAAATTAATAGTGCAGCATTAGCCCACAATCCCTAGATCCAATAAACTTAGCTAGCCCAAAACAATTATCCTATTAATTACACTGGTCAACGCCATTTTGCCACAGGGTGACCAACAACTTTTCTAGGGTAATTTGTGTGCCCTAATTTAAAAAATAACCATAATTTTGCTCAATTAGATGTTATTTTTGGATATAGTAAAAAACCGTTTTTTTCGACATGCAAAAATTTAAATTTGTGTATATGTTACCGCCAATGTAAAAAATCCGGCAATGAGCGAAATGTCTAGATACTCTGCAAACTGACCAAATTACCGAATATTGAGCAAAATCACTTCCATTTTGGAAATTTACTACGCTATTTTAAGCAATCTGCAAAATAGGATTAGGTACAGGTTTTTACTTCACACAATGACCACTCTCTAAAAATGAATTAGTCAAAAATGACTAATTTACTAGTTATTAGTGGCTGCTTTTTCACTTGTAAAATGGTTAACCATCTACACTGTTCTACTTTTTTAACTTTTGACGACATTTTCGAATTAAGGGGACAATTTTACATAAGAATTGGCTTTTAAATTTTGAGATACCATGGTATTCCATGGTTATCCATGGTACAAGTGAAAAAGCAGCCACTAATAACTATGAAATTAGTCATTTTTGACTAATTCATTTTTGCGCATTATGTGCAATACTTTTACTTATGTCGAACTTCGCTATTCAGTTAGATTCATAGTGGCGAGCGGGAAGAAAGAAATATGTATAGAGAATTTGTCCCCCTGACAAACAAACTTGACGTGTTTTTGGATTTTGCGAAAAGTTTTTTCCCAGCCTGTAATGCCTTGCGGTACGTGGGGTGGCCCCTGTATATGTTTAAAACAATATAATTATCTTTTTCCTTTATTACTAAATATGGTAGATACGGCCTTAAGGCTAAAATTTTAGCTTAGCAGGGCAGTATAACCGCCTGCCTAGCAACGGAAATAATAATCTTATTATTTTCATTGTTAGGCATCAGTGATTGGCTGATTTCATTTTATCATATCCAAGTCATATTATAAAATACCTAAAATATACCAATTACAACGTACTAACATAATATGTCTATCATCCCTTATTTCTCTAAGCTTTTAACTTCTGAAAATAACAAGCTGATCTTAATGATGTGCATAATGCGTTAAGGCTATCTTTTCAGTCCTAAAGTTCCTAGCAACGGAAATAATACACTTATTATTTTCATTGTTAGGCATCAGTGATTGGCTGATTTCATTTTATCATATCCAAGTCATATTATAAAATACCTAAAATATACCAATTACAACGTACTAACATAATATGTCTATCATCCCTTATTTCTCTAAGCTTTTAACTTCTGAAAATAACAAGCTGATCTTAATGATGTGCATAATGCATTAAGGGTATCTTTCCAGTCCTAAATATATTTTATAATAATAATAATAATAATAATAGAGTTTATTGCCCAACAGTTTACACCATAGTAGGACATTCATATTATATAACAAAGAGGTTTACAAAAAAAATATTTAAAAAAAATGTGAACAAACTTATAACTAAACTTTCAATCAGATTTATACATCATTAAAATTTAAAATGGCCATGTGAATAGTTTTTAGTGAACAATAGTTAATATCACAATTAGTTGATATTTTATTAAAGTTATTAAACATAACATGTAAAGGTGATTTAATAAGTACATTGGTACGAGCAATCGGACACTTGAAGGTATGGTTCTGGCGACTAAAGCAAAATCATTAATTTTATAGCTAAAGTATATGGGTTTCTTCTTGGTTGTGTAGCACATAACTTTGCATTTTGAAATATTCAAGTTTAATCTGTTATCTATGCACCATTCATTAAGTCTATTTAGGTAATCCTGTAGGGCTACGCAATCACTCACACATTTTATCTGGTGATACATTTTTAGATCATCTGCATACAACAGCTTGAAACAATTGATTTTATTAGGAAGGTCATTTATAAACAAAAGAAACAATAGGGGACCCAAATTAGAACCCTGCGGCACTCCCGAAGTGGATACAAAAGAATCTGAGTAAAATCCATTGAATGCGACAATCTGACGTCTATGTGATAAGTAAGATGTAAAAAGGTGGACAATAGTGTTATCAAATCCAAAATTACAAAACTTTTTTATCAGTATTGAATGATCGATTTGATCGAATGCTTTCTGGAAATCGGTATAAACAACGCCCGCGATTATCAATGGTTTTACTGGCAAGTTGTGTGAAACTGACAAGATTGGACGAAGTTGATATTTTTTCCATAAAGCCGTGTTGACTTGGTGAGAGCAGATGCTTAACTTGAGTGTATACTTTTGAGTAAATAATTGATTCAAAAATGTTTGCAAAATTGTTAATAATTGATATGGGCCGATAATTTTCAACTTGGGAATTGCTACCTTTTTTTAAAACAGAGATTTTCCATGAGCTTGGAAAGACTCCCGATTCTAAAATTTTATCAAAAATAATTAATAATGGGGTCAAAAAGGCGCCACAACAATTTATTATACATATTATGTTTCCTATTGGCTTCTTGGTAAATAAAAGATAATTAAATAAAAGCACCTGTTTTTAGAATGTTAGTATCCAGCGTAGCATGATTAGTATGTTACCCACCAAACAGCATTCAATAAACAACTTACTGTATAGAGTTTTAACCGATATTAAGAGAGGAAAACCTGCTGCTGCTTGACGGTAGAACGAGTGGTGTGCTATTGACGTACCTCTGACACCTGCACAGCAGCAGCCTGATAAAGGCCGCGCGGAACGTCTTGTTGAACACGGTGTAGATGATGGGATTAATGGTGGACGACACGTAGCCCAGCCAGAGACACACGACCACCACGTGCTCGGGAACCTTGCAATCGGGACAGGCGGCGAAGATTATGTTCAGTATGAAGAACGGCGCCCAGCAAAGGACGAACGTGAAGAAGACGAGTCCCAGCACTTTGGAGGCTTTTTGTTCCGTCGCCACGGAGTTTGCTGCAAGGGTTTTTCGTTTTACACGACCGGCCAACAATCTGCAACAAAGTATGTAATATAGTAAGCACATTTCAATCACATTTCAATCCCATTAAAATTTGGTTTTATCCCTGACTGCGACATAAATTGTCAATAGCAGTCCTGTCAACCAGAGTTGGGATTAGTCACTAATATTTTCAATCGATTGACGAATCAAACTAAAAAATTAGTGATTATTTTAGTTATGACTAAATCAATCACGATTAAAAATTTAGTTTTAGTCGCAACTAAAATCAAGTAATCATTAGTTATTTGTTTTAGTTTGATTGAAATTTTTAATTAAAAAGGTATATTCCGTATTTGTAAGCGAGGTTATAAAAAATTATGAAAACTGTCTTTGTAAAATACAATAAGCCTATGCCGTCATAGAACGAATGTTTTCCCATACAACAAAATCACACAAACTATCCGATGAGATTTTTGAGAAAAGAGTCGTCATGAAAAATAATTTAAATATAATTATATATAAATTATAATTATAATTAATCGGAAACATTGACGCACCTAACCAAGAAAAAATTATCTGTTTAATTATAAATATAAATAAAAGATTATTTATATAAACATACAGAGAAATAGAACACATAAAAATAATATAATCTCATATTTTTTTCCTACGCTCCCCTCTACGGAGATACGGACCCATACGGACACCCCTGGAAATCGTTTTTTTTTCTGGTGGGATTGAATATTTTTTAAATATATTGTTTACTAGTAAAGTTTCCTTAAAATGGACACTTTTAATTACATTTGGCTTATTTAGTTTGCCAGGGACAGACTAGCTCTAAGAGCAATACTATTTTTTTTAACACCCTGTATTATAAAGGCACAACAATAATATTTTTAATCAGCTTAAACCTTAAAGTAAAAAAAGGTAATCCTGATCGACAACGATAAAATGTAAAGTACATACGAAAAAAAATGTTTTTGTACAATAGGGTTTTTTACATTTATTTTTTTTGTAATGTATTTACATTTACCGATTTAAAAATTTGAATGATGTCAGTGTCAGTTGAAAATAAAGTGTTTTGAAATTTTCGATCCTTTTATTTTCTTTCCAGGGGCGTCCGTTATGGGCCGGTATCTCCGTAGGGGGGCCGGGTATCTCCGTAGGGGGGCCGTAGGAAAAATGTATAGGAACTTGTCATATTATTTTTATGTGTTATATCTAAATCCAGGAGATTGCCCACATATTTTGCAACAACAAACACTCTGTATGGGACTTTTTTTTACACACTATGTATAAATGTATAAACCATTTGTATAATTTAATTAATCGTTTACTTTGCGTTTTCCAGGACATTACTATTTCAATCAAAATTTTAATCATGATTGAAAACTAAAACTAATTCAATCGATTATTTCAATCTTTTACATGACTTAAACTAGACTCAGTAGTTTTTTGTTTGGTTTTTGTTGGAAAATGTTGAATGCAAAATAATTTAATAAAATCACGAGATTTTTAATTATTTTGCATGAAACTATTTTCCAAAAAGAAAAATCAAATAAAAAACTTACTGAGCATAGTTTGACAGATTAAATTTATAGGTTGAGTGATATACGTCTACAATTCATAAAATCTGACGTATTTGTCAAAATTTATAAATATTTTTTTAAAGAAAATTCCATTAATTCAAGGTATGTAATAAGTAATAATTGATATTTCGTAAACTAGATAACTTATTTTTTATTGTTTTTTAAAAAATGTTTGTTAAAACTTGTAAATAACACCATAAAATCGTAAACAAAAATCCAATATGGAGGCTAAAATTTAATCGCTGTTAAATAGTTCTAGTGATTTAATTGCTTATTTAAACGAAATTTATTCGAAAATTCAAGGCTTTTGATTGGTTCATATTATAATTGGGGAAATAATCAGTATTATAATATATATAATAGTTATTTATGTATCAAGGCAGTAAAGTCGTATTTTTTATCACGAATGTGGAAATAATTTGCCGAGGCGAAAGCCGAGACAAATAACCACGTGAGTGATAAAAAATGACTTTTAATAGGTGCATATTAAATTTTATCCGAAATCACATTTAATATTACTAATAATTAATATTGATGATTAAATCAAATGTCATTTGATGATCAAATCAATGTCATTTGAATGTAGAAAGTGTCTTCGTATACTGTTTGTTGCGACTGTTATTATACACACATGATCAAAATTGTTGCATATTTCTGTATTTTAATTTTCGCTTTGTATAACATTATGTTTTTTGTTGTTTTGGAATAAATTTTCATTTAATAGTTATAATAGGTAAAATAAAGAAAATTTAATATATTAAAGTATATATTTTTGTAGGAAATATTAAAAATAAAACTAAATATAATTTTTAAAAAGTGAAAACAATTTATTATCAGAAACGATTTAGCTGAAAAACCATTTTAAATATAAATTTTATTTATAGAATGAAGGTGATTATTTTCTCAAAATTTTTTATAATTGTAATTTACACTATGTATTTTATTGTCAATAAATTATTTATCTAAATACTGTTGTCAAAGTCATCATCCTCGTCGGAACTATCGTCTTCGAGGAGGATAATTGGTTCCGAAACTTTTATTTTATTATTTCCTACAAAATTACTTCAATATATTAAATTTTCTTTATTTTATGTATTATAACAATTATACAAAGCGAAAATTAAAATACCAAAATATGCAACAATTTTGATCATGTGTGTATATTTGCCGGCCGCGGCGATTTTTTAATCTAATTAATAAAATTAACTTATTATTTTTATTTAACAAAATTGTATGAAAGGGTCCAATCGACCTCCGCGACGGTGCTTTTTTTAAATATTATTTAGTTGCTGCTGAGGAGCAGTAGACACATCTTAAAATGTATAATGGGGTGAATACAATACTCTTATTAAATCGGCAGTAGAGTTCTACTTTACTGCCGATTTTGGATAATAGTATATTATGTATCAAGTTTGATAAACGCCATTTTATACACGAATTTAATTTAGGCACGAGTGAGCTTGCGAGCGAGTGCTTAAATTAATGAGTATATAGAAAAGGTACATACTATACTTTTTTTACGAAAAATACTTATTATTATCTTAAAATGATTTAAATCAAAAATTTGTATAGAGCGTGATCTATGAAACAATAGGGGAATCTGTGTTTCACCGTCAAATGTCAAATTTTTATATTTTATAAATCGAAATGTACTTCTAGAAAATTGACAGTTTTTCAAAGTGAAAGTAAAGAAAATATTTTATGAGCACTTTACAGTGGAGTCCGTGCCCGAATTTAAGTTATAGTTTACTGCCGGCGAAACTTAAAGGTCAGTACAATGTTCATATAAACTTTTCAAATATTGGCGTTGAGAAACTATTTAATAATTTTGTATTTTTGTATTGAGATAATAAAATAATTTTCACATTTAGTATTATTTTACAAGAAAGGCACTTTATTTTAACGATTGTATGACATTTGACAACTGTCAACTAACTTAAAACTAACTTCATCCCGTGACTAAAAACCTGTTGCTAACTTCAGCCCGTAACTCAAGCGCCATAAAGCCACAACTTGTCAATGTGTATTTAAAAGGTCACTGTGTCATGGAAACATGTACGATAAAGGGTGTTTTAAAGGTGGGAGTAAAAAATAGTATATTTTATAATATTGTATACAATCTACATGTAGATTGTGTAGACATACATATTTATTTACCAAATAAACAAATATGTGATATGTGATGTAAAGTATTTAATAATCTAAATTATTGTAATATTTTACTAAGAAATAAAGACGATTATTATTATTATTATCTACGAATATGGTTTACCTAGATAATTAATTTCTATAATAATAATATTTAAAAATTTAATATAACCCCTGAAGTTCACGTATTATAACAGAATCTGTTATAATACGTGAACTTCAGGGGTTATATTAAATTTTTAAATATTATTATTATAGAAATTAATTATCTAGGTAAACCATATTCGTAGATAATAATAATAATAATCGTCTTTATTTTTAGTAAAATATTACAATAATTTAGATTATTAAATACTTTACATCACATATCACATATTTGTTTATTTGGTAAATAAATATGTATGTCTACACAATCTACATGTAGATTGTATACAATATTATAAAATATACTATTTTCTACTCCCACCTTTAAAACACCCTTTATCGTACATGTTTCCATGACACAGTGACCTTTTAAATACACATTGACAAGTTGTGGCTTTATGGCGCTTGAGTATAAGAGCATTGAACAATATTCAATGAACAAATCTGAATGAAATTCCAATTAAAATTGAAAATTATTATAATTAAGTTTATTTTAAAAACCTAAAAGCATAAAAGGAAAACTGCGTCAAATACAAAAATATGTGTTATTATGTTTCATTGACAGCATTCAATAAACAAACATGAATGGAATTTATTTTATTTTAGGATTGGTGAATCCAAATCTGGAGTTGAATTGACTCGGTCAGGTCGCATTTTGCTTCCATCCTCAAGAAGTGAAATATCAATAGGATTTCAACAGCCGATAGTATGTCAAATATAATATAGCTGAATTTTTCTTTTTTTTTGAGAGACTAAAAATTTAATGGGGTACGTTTTTTATGATAAAAATATTCATAAAATATTAATATTTTAAATCATAAGGTTCCAATAAAATATCCCGTTATGTGAATTCATAATTAAATCAAATTCATAATCGATCCTGAGTTTCCGAACTAACCTACATAAAAAACCACAAGATTGACCCAAAAACATTTAAAATTACCATATTTTTTATAATAGTGCTATAAAAGGCATATAACACATATACCGTATTTTAATTTTTGATGCATACAGCTGGTGCATTCGGTTTTTAAGAGTGGGAGAAATTCTCTGTGAGTGGAGAAATAAATCGCTTCAATAATTTTCTGTTAAAAGTGGCTTAGGTACATTTTAAGTATCGGATTTATGTCAATGTAAATTAACTTAATAATGCATTTTTAAAATGCATAGACTTCTACTATACCCCAACGCCACGGAATCGCCACTGAATGTGTTGTCAGCGTTGTTGGCGTTGAAGCCTTTTGAGTTTGTTAGACTCTGCTCCATCAGTAAGCTAACATTAATTTCGTTTATCGCTTATTTGCCGAAGTACACCATATAAATGCAAAATTCAAATGATGCTTGAACGGTACGCCGCGCCGTGGTGCAAAATATCCCCACTCCCTTTGAAGGTTTTCGGATACACTCGGCACTTAGCATTGTAAACTTTTAGCGTAAAAATACATTATGTTTTAACTACTTATAAAAAAAAATAAAACACAAAAATAAAATTTAGATATTTACATTTTAAACTTTTAAGTAAATAATAAATGGAAATACAATCTTTGGATCAGTTAAATATTTGTATTTATTTTGAAAAAATAAATGAAAAGGCACCCTCTCAAATCCTATTTTTTATTGAATTCAATCATCCACTTTTTAAATTTTGATTTGGGTCCTAATAAAACAGCCATTTTCTTTTAACCGTCATAAAATTAAAGTTATTGTTAATAAAAATTGTCTGATATAGCTTTCTTAGCTTGGTTATAGGATCCTTTATTAAGATAACGTAACTTATGGCATACAAATAAATAAAACGGGTTTAATAAACAGTATAAGTTTGAAAGAATAAATAAAGTTACAATTGTTGAAAATTAATTTTAATGAAATATATTTATTTATTGGCGTAAATTTTGTTTTTATTTTGTTTTATTTAAAAAGTAAATAAGAGTGGTATTTTTTAATAAACTAATTATCATACAATCACAACTAAAAATATAAATTTTAATATAATATATACTAGGGTAGCCCAAAAAAACGAATATTTTTTTTTCTTGTCTCTTATAAAAATATGTTAGTTTATCATGCTGTAAGAACCCTGTCAAAATATCAGCTCGATTAAAAAATTTTTAGGGGTCGCTCAAGATTTTAAAAAAATTTCAAAATCGTCAAAAATTGATTTTTTGTTTTATTTTAATTTTTTTTCTCGTCTCAATATTATTTTTTAAGTTGAAAATAATAAAAATTCTGTAAACTTCAAATCAATATTTTGATTTCTAAAGGTCGCTAAAAGTTCGTTGATATTTATATTCAGAAGTCGCTCGAAATCATTCAAAATACTCTACTTTGAAAGTTAAAAAAATCTTGAGCGACCTTTAGAAATCAAAATTTCGATTTGAAATTTTCAGAATCATTATTATTTTCAAATTAAAAAATAATATCGGAACGAGATAAAAATTAAAATAAAAAAAATCCAATTTTTGACGATTTTGGAAATTTTTAAAAATCTTAAACTTTAAACATTCAATTTGTGTAAATATATTATATAATATATATAAAGATATTTACAATTTGAGAACATAACCTAAAATTTAAAAGAAATGCACTAATTAATGGTAATGGTAATTCTGTCAAAAAAGTTGCCAGATTTTGTTTGGATTTACTTTCAATACAAAAATGTCATAATCAACAATTAATAAAAACGCCACATTAACAATTTGCATATTTGATTTTGTCATTTTTGTAATTAAGCTAAATTCAAACAAAATCTGGAACCTTTTTTTGACAGAATCTGGAAACGCTGGTTGTTACTAACCATAACATAATAAATTAAATTAGGCAACCAGATTTGCCTAAAGTTCCTAGGCGATCTTTTGGCGTACTTTTTGGGAGGATAAAGGATTTTAATGAAACGTATTTAAGATTTTAATTTTATGTTGGCAAAATGGTAAATTTAAAAAGATGAAGCTTTAAAAAAAATACTGTTGGTGACAATGATTAAATTACATTAACTTGCCAACTTTGATTTACAAAAAAAGTTACTGGGGAAAGGGTCAGACATTTTGAGTCTTGCCAATCATTTTCAATGTGAGGTTAAGAAAATTATAATCTAATTTAAGTTGCATCAAATAGATTGAAAACTCCTATACCATAAAAATAACATTAAGAAATTATAATAGTTACATTTTCAAAATATAAAAATACAGATATTTAAATTTATTTCAGTAAACATACGTGCTTTATATTGTAGAAGAGGCCGTTTTACAGAACAACTTAAACATAAAATACCAACTGTAATTAAATAATGAGTGCGAATAAAAATCTCAACCATTTTCAATTTTTCGAGTCAGTGCTGCTGTGTTATAACAGTATACTCTGTTACTGTTATTGACATTTGCGTTGGCTTTTATTCGTCGTCCCGATTTATAGCGCACTTTTGTTTTTGCCGGTTGCCAAATGAAATTATCGAAATCATTTAAACGCACTTTAAAAAGGTAAATTGTTTGATTGTTGCGAGCCATCGAACAGTTCATTCAAAATGCCATGCAGATAATGTTTATGAAAACAAATGAAAATTCTACATAGGTTTATATTTAAATTTAATTAAAATTATTAAATAATAAACATTTTATTAAAATATTAATGGTTTTTAAGAGCTTGTAGATTTTTAACAGTACGGACTTTAAAAAGGTAAATTGTTTGATTGTTGCGAGCCATCGAACAGTTCATTCAAAATGCCATGCAGATAATGTTTATGAAAACAAATGAAAATTCTACATACCTAGGTTTATATTTAAATTTAATTAAAATTATTAAATAATAAACATTTTATTAAAATATTAATGGTTTTTAAGAGCTTGTAGATTTTTAACAGTACGGAATTTTATTTTACTCAGTTTCATTTAAAGAAAAACTTATATTATATGAGAAAATGAAAAAACGAGAAAAGAGTCGGTATACCTATAGGTAGTAGAAACTGCCGACAATTATAATTTTTGACTATAATACATATATTTGTTTGGAGACGCTAAAAAGCAAAGGGATTTAAAATAAAAGGTAATTCAACCAACATAAGTCGACTTAAACGTTACAAATAAGGTAATGATCTAGAAACAAATTTGACTTACTGAGACTCTTCCTCTAAAGTAGTGAGAAAAAGCGATCTTATGGGTGTACTAGCGCACCAAGCTCTATTTTTTAATGAAATTGAAGAATATTAAAGGAGGTACAAAATGTTAATCATGCGTAGATCTTTATAAGAAAAAATGGTCAGGTGATACAAATTTGGTTTTAGGCTTTTCTATAAGCCCCTATCAATTCATAAAACTAAAAAAGACAGTGACATTGTTAACAAAAATGTTGAGCATTTTCTATGCTTTAGAAGCACTGGGATCAAAAGCCATTAAATGCAGACATAACCTAAAATAACATTAAAGGTTATACGCTGCAGCGCGCTGTCTAGCACATCCGATGTGTATTATATAATATTGTATTTACGAGTACCTAATGAAAATAAAGTGCCTATTTTAGCCATATGTTTTAGGCGATTGAAGCCAGTTTAGTTACTTAGGTAAAACTAAAATACTCAGTTTCTTCTAAGACGCATTTTTGTGATGACCAATTCAAAATCCTCCATAACCGAATATAACATTAAAACTGTGGGTAAATTTGTCAATCTTTTTTAAAATTTATAAAAATAGATTTTTGTATTTCCAAATCATAAATGTATATCATTGATTAAACATTTGGGAATCTAAAATATCTGTGCATGGTTTGTTTCGCACAATTGAAATGAGGATTCCAAACAAATATTTTTAACAAAAAAACAATTTTAACCACTAACCGCAAGCAGTATTTTCCTGATTTATCATCGTGTGACTGGAAAAATGCATTTTCCGATGAAAGGGAAACGCTTTTGCGGACAATGAAGCCATCCAAAATACTTGCAGCGACATCCCCGGAGCTACCTTTTAAGATGACCTTAAAAACTCATTCAAAATCCTTTTTGACCGTGCAAATAGTTTGTTTACGTTTTCCCAAAATAGTAAGTATTTATTCTTATTTCTAAAACATCCTGTTTATTTTGGAACACCTTGTACTCGTATAGCTTAAAGAATAAAAATGCAATTGAAAAAATATAAAGTAAGTATAGGTATGCATGAAAAATTATAATAACCAAATTAATTTTATTGACATAAAGATTAACAGTGTTGTCCAAAAATAAAAACTAAACTTTGCTCCAGTATTAGTTCACGAAAGAATCCTAATTTGTTCGATACTTAGCTTAATTTTCATTAAAAAAATTGCATAGTTTCCATTGATCTTCTTTTATAAAAATCAAAAGACATCGAAAATCGATTGAATAGAAATATTCCGTCAATATCAACTATTGCCTTGGACATCTGAAGTTAATTTTTTACTTTATTATCATAGTCGTAGAAAAAATAGTGTATTAAGACACTCATTATAACGATTAGATATCATTAAATGGTCGTTGCATAAAATAGTTTAAAAAAAAGTCATCTGTTAATATTTTCTTATATTTAATATAATTGTGGCCATATTTATCAGGGGCGGTTTTAGACATCTACTGAGGGGGGGAGAAAATATAAAAAGTACTTGTGTAATGGCAATTAGTGCAGTCTTAACTGGACATAATTCTGCAAGCATTATTTTATTTAATTTTACTTTTAAAGTGTCTATATGATTCGATTATTAGGAAATCGTAATAAAATTAATTAAGCATTATATTTAAGGGGGCGATCGCCCCTGTCGCCCACCCTTAAAAAAACGCCACTGTATTCAACATAATAAATGAATAATATGCATGTTTGACGTAGTATGTCACGTAATATTGGCTTCCCATAGCAATTATCACGTTTACGAGAGGTTAAAGTGTATAGAGCTTGAAAATTAAAAAAATACCATCAATTTAATCTAACTTACAAAATTGTATTGAATTGCTCGATTTTAACCGCACTTGCATTATAACTTTAATGTTATACAAAACATGTAAAATATACTGCGATTTAAATTAAAAATATTAATATTTGAACAAAACCAATAGTAATCTTGGTTTGGTTGAAATAATAATCTTTTTTTATATTTGCATCACAAACCATTTTGTTAAATTATTAAAGAAATTAATTATATTAACAAAATATAAGTTCGTGAAAATGCTTTATTCCAACCAAATTGTATTTGATTTGACAAATCATCAAATCAAGCAAATTCTGCCTTAGGTCTGTGACAGGTGTATAGACAGTCAATTTTTACTTTTCAATTTA